AAAAGGCCCGCCGCCCCCCCCCCGACCCCCGGCCCCCTGCCTGGCTGCGCGCTTCGCTCGCCCTCGGTGCCGTGACTACTGTGCCTGCCGTGAACCGACTGGGTGCCTCGGCGCCTCCCGCCCTACCCTCCCCACACCCCCCACTGCACTGCCGCCTGGGCCACCCTGCCTGCTGGGAGCTCCTTGCCTGGGGGGTCTGGAGAAGTCCTTCCTGGGCCTCTGGCCTTTTCGCTAGTTCCTACTTTTTACGGGTCCTGGGGGTGGTCAGAGTGGACACCCCGAGAGAAGCAAAGCAGGTAGAGAGACAGGGAGGTGCCAGTGGAGGCAGCTGGCTGCGAGGGGGACCACGGAGGTGACCCAGGCAGAGAGCAGCCCCCTTGGCGACTTTCTCCGAGGTGACGGGACGACGGCCAAGTAGCTGGGATGTCTGTGATGAAGGACCGAGGCCATACCTGGGTGGACGGCTGCTGCTGTTCTGTCGTGTGGCCCACTGTCCCCGGGGTCGGGTCAGGAGGTCTGGGGCTCCGCCCTTTCCCCTGTGCTGACCGCCGTGCCGCAGGGTGGCCGTGCCCTCCCCTGGCCCCGCGTCTTCCGGCCGAGGCCCCGCCTGTGCTGTGCTTGCGATGTGCATCAATAAACCGCGTGGCCCGAGGGCCGCCGTCTTGGTCTCTTAGGGCTGACTGTGGCTGATCAGCACCAGGGAGTTCTCGCTCACGGATCTGGAGACAGACGTCCGGACCAGGGCGCAGGCTCGGTGTCCGGCGCGCCTGCCTCCTCGTGCCCCGATGGCGCCTGGCCTGCAGCGCCTGGTGGAAGGGATGCGGGAGCCCCCGGGCTCCTTCACAGGGCACTGACCCCAGTCACGAAGGCTCCTCCCCCGTGACCTCCTGCAGCAGAGGCCCCACCTCCTGTTACCTGCACCTCGTGGGCAGTACTTCCGGTGGGGGATGAGCACCAACATTCAGATCCCGGCCTCGGGCCCTGGGGAGGGGCGAGTCCTACAATCCACAGAGGACCCCGCCCAGGGTCATCTCCGAGGAGCCCCAGCCCCACTCGAGGGTAGGGCTGGAATGTGGAGTCACATCTCCCTCTTGGAAGAGGCTTTGAGGCTATTTGGTCCCGCTGCTGCTTCCCACCTGGGGAAACCGAGGCCTCCTCAGGGAGCACCTGCAGCAGCCGGAGCTGCCTGGGGCCCGGCCCCGCGTGCAGGCCTATCACCAGAGCACCTGCCGTTGTGTCAGACCCCACTGCCACTGCCCTGTCCTCACAGGGGAGCCTTCCACCTGTTATCACAGGCTTATTGAAGTGGCCCTCTGCGGGAGCAAGACTCCAGAAAAGCCAGAGGGACCCTACCCACACTGCCCGACTCAGCGCCCAAAGGACATGTCGTCTGGGACTTGGGGTCAGCCCTGCAGTCTGGGAAGGGAGAGGAGCAGAGGACCACTTCCTGGGGCCTACTGAGTACTCAGCCATCTTCACAGTGGCCATGGGCAGCGTGAGTCCCACTTCACAGAGGAAGAGACCGGGGCACACAGTCTCAGGGCCAGTCGGTGACAGGGCCCAGGGCTGCATTCGGGAGCTGGGATGGTCTCCTTTCACTGCCCTGAGCCTGCCTCCCTCGGGCAGGGCTGCCTCAGATAGTGAGATGTGGCGGGGGTGAGAGGGCCCCTCAGAGGCCGTGACCCCCTGGGGGCTGCCACCATATCTGAGTCCCTTGCACACTAAGGCGGGGCAGTGTGTGGGGGATACTGTGGAGTTGAAGGTGCCCTGGAGGCTTGCTGTAAGGCATAGTGTCCAAAATTCCAAGACAGAGCGACTGCGGGTCCACACTCCCTCCTTCCCACCTCTGCAGGCCTGCACAGTGCCCTCTCCCTGCCGAGAGGGTCTCAGAGGCCTCAGTCATCCTTCGGGGGACCTTCTGGGTTTCTTGGGAGGAGAGACTGGCCCCTGGAGCCCTCTCAGTGGGGAGCGAAGGCACCAGGTCCCCCCAGAGGGCCCACTTCCCCTTCCTCAGTCCAGATGGCCACTCCCTGGCTCCCAGCCAGCCCAGGGCTGCTCAGACGGAGCTGGATCAGGGTGTCCACCACGTCCACCCGGGGGTCCTTCCTGGCCTGGGTCTAATCTGACCTGGTGGAGGCAGCAAGGTCTGTGTGCGGGTGCACACACACGCTTGTACACACAGGCGCACACACACGTCCCCTCACTGGGCTGGAGTGAGGTCTGTGTGCGGGTGCACACACACGCTTGTACACACAGGCGCACATACATGTCCCCTCACTGGGCTGGAGTGAGGTCTGTGTGCGGGTGCACACACACGCTTGTACACACAGGCGCACACACACGTCCTCTCACTGGGCTGGAGCGAGGTCCATGTGTGAGTGCACACACATGTTCAATTGCACAGGCGCACGCACACACACACACGCCCCTCACTGGGCTGGAGCAAGAGACAGTCCTGACCTAGAGCCGCCACCACCTGGCTGCGGACCACATTAGCTCTGTCCCCAGTGCAGGCAGCAGCGCGGACTCTGTGTTCCAGGTGGGGTGTTTGGTATGCGAGCACAAACACACAGACACGTGGCCACACACTCTGCTCCAACACACACCCCTTACGCATTCCCTCTGCTCGGGAGTACACCCACACTTCCTGCCCATTCCTTTCCCTGGCTGGCATCGTCCCTTTAACCCTGGGGGGTGGCAGCCCCCACCCTCCACCAAGTGGCAGGGGCGGTGCAGGCTCTTCTGTGCCTTTTCTGTTAGGAAAAGAGGTGGCTGGGGTCCCAAGGACGGGGAGGAGGGACCATTCCCCAAGAATGACGGAGGCCTTCAGGAAGCTGAGCTGAGGTGACTGGCAGTAAAACAGCTTGGAGGAGATGGGAACCAGATGTTCGGGCAGGGAGGGGCGGCTCTGGCCTGTCGGCAGGAGGCTTGATGGGATGTTCGGGTAGGGAGGGGCGGCTCTGGCCTGTCGGCAGGAGGCTTGGTGGGACAGGTCTGGCTGCCTCCCCTCCAGCTCTCCAAGGCGGGCAAACTGGAGCCGCTCATCTTTCCGCGACTCTGGGATCGGGCTGGTGCAGGCTGTGGCTTGGAGGTGCCCATGCACCTTTCCGCTGCCCCAAGCCCTCCTCGCTGTAGGTTAAGCCACCTTCCTTCTGGCAGGGACAGTTCTGTTTCCTTATTTCTTCCTCCAAAAGCAAGAAAGAAGGGGGTGGGGCCCCATCAGGGCCTGCATGCCTCAGTTCACCCCAGCTTCTGCCACTCTGGATCAGAGGCACATGTGTTCTTGGCATGTCCAGGGAGGTCTCCAGCGAGCTGCACACCTGGCACCTTCCCTGCGGGTCAGACTCGCAGTGTCGCTTCTCAGCTGCAGGCCCCTGTGTCAGACTGGTACGTAGCTCACCCAGAGGTTTCCTTTTAGCAAAGGAATAGGGGTGTCCAGGAACCAGAAAGTCATCTGGTCAGCGGCAGGAAAAGCAGTTGTGTTTATTAAGAGCCTCCTGCTGGCCAGGTGCAGGGACAGGTCCTCTCCTAAGGTGACCGCCTTCCCTCTGCACCGTGCAAGGTGCCACCATCCTCCAGGCTTACAGATGAAGCAGAGGCTCAGAGAAGTGAGGTGAGTCGGCCAGGGCCGCACAGCCACCCAGCGGTAGAGCGAGTGTTTGCCAGAGACCGTCACTTCCGACAGGGACGGGAAAAGCAGGCGATGAGCACAGCGGGCACTGGTGTCTGCGTCCTGGAGTGGCCATGTGTCTTACACAGGCTCGCTGTGTCACAGCCCTCCCGTCGCAGCCTCCCGAATAGCTGAGACTACAGGTGTGTGCCACCACGTCCGATGTTTTGGGTAGGCTGGGAATCGAACCGGGGCCTTTGGTGTGTGACCTCAGCCCGCCTGCGCGCACCACCAAGGCTAGGCCCCAACTTTCCTTACTTCACAGCGGAGTGGACAGCTGGCCCTGGGATGCTCCGTACCTCTGCGAGGGTCCCCGTCCCGCCTGGCCTGGCCCCGGCACTCGGGTTGTTCTGCACACCAGACGTGGGGTTTTCTCGTTTCCTGTAGCCATGGCGAGCCCCAGTTGCCGGACACCCTCGCAGCCCACTCTCCCCTTCCCCAGGTGGAGACAGAATGCCCAGATGCGCTCTGACCCCGTTCACTCACCTCCTCTGTCCCCTCCAAAGGCCTCTGGATGAAAGTCCCACCCTCCCGTTGTGTGGGCAGGCCACAGCGGTGTGTGCACAAGGTGCCTCCGTGGGCGGTGGGGTGACAGACATCCGTGTGTGTGTGCCCGCATGTGAAATCACACCCTCAGGGGCCCCGGAATCACAGGGAGGGCAGCCCGAGCTGCCCCAGACCACAGAGAGCCCGCGCATCTGTACTGGCCGCCCCGCCTGCTCGCCCCAGACAGCCTCTGGCACGGGTTGTGGCTGTAACACTTTCGGTTTATTGGCTGGGATGCCCTGGTGTGGCTGTCCAGCCCTGGGCCTGAGGGAGGCCCTGTCTCGTTTCTCCTTCCCTCGCCTCCGGCTCTCCCCACCACGGCTCCTGGCAGGCAGACAAGCCCCAGGAAAGGGGAGTCGGGGCTCTCGAAAGCCAGTGGAGGAAGGGGCGAAACGTCCTTTACAATGAAGAGTACGCCACCAGTGGCTCCGGCTGTACACAGCAGGCAGGTGGGGGCGGGCAGGGCCCAGGGAGGAGCAGTCACTTCAAGTGTCTTGCCGAAGGCGCTGGCTCCCTGGGCTGGCCCCTCACTCGGGTGGGGGAATCATGGAGAAGTGGCCGATGGAGTCCAGTCCCCCACCTCCTGAGGACAGCCTCGCGTGGCCCGTCGGGCCTGCAGGTCCGGGGGAGACGGACAGCGTGTCGCCCTCTGCCTGCCCCCGTTGTCGGGTCCAGGTGACAGGGAGCAGGCCTCGCGCCCCCACCCCTGCTGAGGGCCGCGGTCACTTCCTGCTGTGGAGTGTGTCCTGGAACTTGGTGCTGGTATACCGCAGGTGGAAGCCTTTTTTGGTGATGGTATCATCCGAGTGGAATTTCACCAGGACGGAATCTCCGGCTGAGTACACCTCCTCGGGAGGCTGGGGGGAGAGGGGCGGGTGTGAGGCAGAGGGAGATGGCTGCTCCCTCCCACCCCACAATCCCTGGCCCCTCGGGCCGGATGCTGGCAGGGCAATAAAACACAGCCCTGTGCGAGGCTGACCCACATGGCAGAGTTCTGGGTTGGGGTCCAGAGCCGTCCCTGAGTACTACGGCACACGTGGGCTGAGGCTGGGCGTGGATTGTGGCATCAAGACCCTCTGTGTTGCGCTCTCGCTCACTCATGGAATAAATAAATACGCTTAAAAGAGAAGATCCCTGGCTGTCTGGACGGCGGGAGGCCCCCTGCCTCCTCCAGCCTTAAAGCAGTTTCTACACAGGGAGGCAAGGGAGCCTTGGGGAGGGGGTGTGGGTGGAGCTCTGCTCCACAGGCTGGGCTGTGCTTAGAGGAGCCACTGTCCAGCTGCATCCCGCACCTGCTTCCCCCCCTCACAGCTACTGAAAGCAAGCGAGGCGCGTGAAAGCGTGATGAAGGTGCGTGCGTGCCGAGTGTGGGCTTCTCGCCTCCCAGCTGGTTCTCAGGAGATGGAGCAGAAGATGGCGCAGGAGAGACGTGGCCCCCAGGTCTGGACTCTGGTGCTGCCCCTTCCTGGCGGCTCAGAGCATGGCCAGGCCACAGAGCACAGAACGCCGATGCCCTGGCCTCGGGCACAGAAGGGTCACTTTGGGGCCCTTGTGCCATTTCCAGGAGCTGTGACAGAACCGCTGACTGGGCTCTTCCCACAAGTCTCCTCCTGGGCGCCGGCTGGGGAAGAGCTCTGGAAGAAGCCCCTTGAGGACACCCGGTTTGCAGAGTGGGGAGGGGTGCTGGCTTGGCAGCCAGGGTTGGTGGGGTAGCAGCTGGCAGGCAGAGGGGGCCGCAGGCTCTAGCTGCACCCTGCTCCAGCCCTGCGCAGCCCCGGCTAGCCACATGGGCCTAAGCTCTGCTCCCAAAGGAGGCCTGGTCAAGGCCAACGCCCGGCAGCTACTGCAGTCCCTGGAGCATGGCCACGAGGCAGGGCCAGGGAGGGGACAGGGCACAGTGTGTCTGAGTCTACGGGTGAGAAAGGGTGTGAGATGCGGGGCAGCTTCTCTGAAGGTGGACGGATTCAGAAAGACAAAAGAGGCCCAGCTGCTATACCTCACGCTGGTTGACGCTGCTACTGGGTAGGCTTAGGCTCTGTGGAAGGCCGGGGTTTGATTCCTGGGCCACAGCAAAAGCTGGGCACAGTGGACACACCTGCAGTCCCAGCTGCTCGGGAGACTGCGGCTGGAGGACCACAACATAGAGACCCTGACTTCAAAAAAGAGAGAGACCAGCAGATGGTGCAATGGTAACGTCACTGGACTCCCTCATGGCAGACTGCAGTTCAAGTCCCAGACCTGGAGGCCTGAAACTCATGCCAGGTGCATGTGTATGCATGCCCAAGCTCCCGAGAGGAGAGTGGAGAAAGGATTATGGTGTGGCCATTTCCCGTGGGGGATGATTTATGACTTTCTGTCTCTGTCTCTCTGGTGAGCGCATGTACCCTCTAGCAAAAATCCCCCCCTTCCAAAAAAAAAAAAAAGAGAGAGAGAGAAGCCACAGTTCTCCTGGGAGGAAGATGAATCCACGTCGTGACTAGACCACAGCCCTGTTAAAGCCCACTGAGCAGACTTTTGCCCCCTGCCTCTGGAAATACCAACTTATAGACCAAGAAGCGACACTCAGGTCTGCCCAGACGGCAGCAGCAACGATGCTGGGACGGCCCCCTTACCAGGAGCGGAACTCAGCAGAGGGAGGGATAGAGGTGTTAGGGCTCAGCCAGGAGGACCGTGGCCCTGTCCCTGCTCCGGCGCCTCCTCCGCCCCCACTTCAGGCCCCAGTGAGTTGCCTCTGGCCAGGAGAGCTCTCCTCCTCCCCTGAGGCAGGCTACCCCTCATCCTGCCCGGACGAGCTGGGTCTCCGCAGGCCTGTGTCAGGGCAAGGCCTGTCCTAGAGGCGGCAGTGACCCCTGCGTTGCCTGGCATGGACCAGGTTCCTGCAGGACATGGCCCACGGCAGGTAGGCCTCTGAATAGGCTGAGCCTCCTGACTCCCGTGGAGGGCCAGGCAGGCACCGCTACCCGTCCTGGCACCCAGGCCCCCCAGGCACTGCCCACCTCCACGCGGGGTCTCGGGACTGGGGAGACAAGGGAGGAAGGCGTGGGGCCATGGGCCTCACCCCTGAGCCGCAGTAGCGCCCCAGCCTGGGGGCCGTGCTGTCGTAGCCGTCGAAGAGCTCCATGTAGTCGTAGCCGCAGTCGGTCTCCTCCTCCACCTCGAAGGTCTGGAACACGAGCTCCACGCCGTAGCCCTCCTCGGCCACGATGACCCACTCACAGTCCGCACCCCCAGGGTAGTTGTTGTCGCCGAACTGGGCGTGAGAGTACAGGTCCTTGGTCTTCACCTCTGCCCGCAGCTGGCCCCCGCACTCTGCAGGGACGACAGGAACGGCCCCACCCTGAGCACCGCGGTGCTGGCATCGGCTGCACCACGCCAAGCTGTGAACGAAGGCCATGTGGTTAGCGATGCGGATGCCACGGGAGTCGTCGCCAGCACAAAGGCCCAGCATTGCTGGAGCTTCGACCTTCCAGAGAGCCGTCCACCTGGTCTGACGTGAAAACTCCGGATCTTCAAATGTTGGCTCCAATTCTTTTTCTAAGTTTTTGCTATAGAGCGTATGTGCTTGCCAGAGAGAAAGCAAGATGAGAAAGCGAGGGGGAAGGTGTGAAATCGTCCCTCCCGGGGATGGCCACGCCACAATCCCTGCTGCAGTCTCTACTCGGGGTTTTGGGGACAATTACACGTGCCCAGTGTAATTTTCAAGCCACCAGGACTGGAACCACACAGTCAGCCATGTGGGATCCAGCGCCTTAACCTCCACGCCACCTGCTGGCCCCTGGCTCCAATTTTTAACAGTCACAGTGTGGACCGAACATAGCAGATCCGAGGGCCAGATAGCACCAGGCCCCTGGTGTGTCACCCTGTGCTGGGAGGGACGGGACCAACGGCTGAGAGCAGGAGGGGCAGCCTCCCTCCTCTAATGCCTGCTGGTATCTCCCTACGTCCTGGTGCTCGGTCTCCCGAGGAGGGAGAGGCTGGGCAGGGCCTGGGTCAGGGACTGAGTTAAAGGGTGGAACGAGGCTGCAGACCCGCCAGTCCTGCACACCCATGCCTCCCCGACAGGTGGCCTCTTACCCACGGACGTCACGCTCCCACCTGGCATGCTTGGCCTGACGGTCATGGCCCGTGGGTAGGGCGGGTGGGCCCCCAGCCATTTCTGCAGCCATTCCCACCTGCTGTCGCCTGCGCACACCTGGGCTATGCTGGGGTGGTGGCTCCACGTGGCGCCTCCCCTTGCTGGAAGGACTCACGCCAGGTAGGTGGGGTGCCCTTCCCTGCCGTCACCCGCCACATCGCCCTCATGCTGTGGCGTCCGTGTGTGCCTTCTCCCTCTCGGGGACTGAGCGTCCCGGGAGTAGGCAGGCACAGGGCTCAGCCTGATTCAGGCCATGTGCCCTTCAGTCCTGGTGCACAGCGACCCCTCTGACAGCACGTACCGGTGGGTGAATTAACAGCCGAGTGCAGAGAAACCCCTGAGGGCAGGACCCTCACCTACTGGGTTGTTTTCTGCGACCTGCACTCAGACCGCCGCTGCACTCATACGCTGCATACGTACCACGTGTTCAGACAGCTGTGGGATAGAGCGCAGGTACTGTGCACGCTGGAGAGTGGGGAGGCTGCTGGAGGCAGTGCGCTAGCAGCAGGGCCTCTGCAGAGTCCCCTCCCCATGCCTGGGTTCCCAGCACGCCCCCACCACTGTCTGTTCTGTCTTCTGACCTTTGCAGCCCCCCGCCTTGACCTCCCCTCCTCCCAGGCTGGCCGTTCTGCTGGCCCAGTCTCAGATAACGCAGTCCTGCCCACCCATCCCCGCCCGTCTGTCCCCTTGGCAAGCTCTCTGTAACCCCCAACCCTGCCCAGGAGCCTCGCTCGGAGACCAGGGTTGGCAGACACTTCCAGAGCAAAGGACCCGATCACCGAGCACACCAGCTGCCCGGCATGGCCCGTGTGGCCTCACCTGTGGAGTGGGTCGCCTGGAAGCCCTTCCTCTGCACCGAGTTGTCAGAGTAGAAGCGCAGGAACATGCGACTGCCTGTGGCCAGGACTGGCTCGGGCTTCTTGGTGCCACAGAAGCGGCCGAGCACAGGGGCCTTGGCATCGCGCCCGTCGTAAGCCTCCAGGTGGTCATAGGCACACTCGGGCTGAGACTCGATGTCCATCTCCACGAAGGTCTAGAGGGCATTGCAGGGCAGGGGGTGGCACAAGTTAGGATGTGGCTGGAGTGGCCCCAAATTCCGGCCTCAGCACCCCTGTTCAAATGCTGTGGGAGTAGCCACTGCAGGGGTACTTGAGAACGGGCACCAGCAGGGAAGCCCCAGCGTGTCCTGGGAAAGGGGGCCCTGTCCAGGCCAGACCTGGGTTGCTAAGGGCTGGCGGGCCCGCTGGGGGGATCGGGGACACAGCCTA